TAACTTAATAATGATGACTCAATTTTAGTTAGTCGATTTTGTTAATAAAATGTTATGATCTAAAAGACCAAAGCATTTATGGGAGACTATGCAATTGCTATTATACTAGTGTAGAGTTTGCATATGGAATACTAAATAGTATCATTTACCCATCCCTGCAGTGATGTATACCATATGAACATGGAGTTAGTGTCAATTAATCACATATGAAATAGTTGTTACTGAAAGTGTCAAATGTCAAAAAATCACATTTTTATCTATTATGAATAAAATATCATCAGTTGATTTTTATAAATTATAATTTATTTGTATCTGAATGAAGTTTAGTGAATGGCTATTTAGACACATATCACTAAAAGGTCTAAAACAGTCTAGATTCACAGGCTTTACATTTATGCATTCTTCTGATAGATAGTTTAGTGTGCAGTGAAAAATTATTTTTAAAATAAATTTGACCTTTTAAGTGTTAACTGCTTATGTTTAAAAGTTAATAACCTCTTAGCTTTTGACTGATTTCACTAACTTATGACTGATAAATTATAATCACCAGTTTTATATTACCACCTGACACAGGTTGCATGTGAACATAAAAACCAAATATGGATAAAAATAGCTAGAAGTATTGTCCATTTGTTCATATTCATTATTAGATGGTTATTATAACATTTACTGAAGAATGGATATCAATTGTAATCAAACAACATTTCTTTTTACGAAAAGGATCTTTAATAACAGTAGATTGCACAATTTAGACCAATATCCTTCCAAAATCCAGGTTCAATGGCTTTCTACATTTAAAACACTTACCTTTAAGATTATAAAATGATTGCTTCATTTCTACTTTTCCTATCACTTCTCCAACCTGTCCTATATGAGTCTTCCATCTCTTTCTCAAATTTGTGGCTCCTTCTCATCTATTTAATTTAACTTAATTTAATTAATATTTATTGATATTTTTGTCCAAATTTAATGTTTGGTCTTGTATTATGTTAACTTCTACATATGTTTTTAGGGCTCAGTATAGGATATTGGATCATCAATTGGTTGTCATTATTCTGTGGAAGACCATTTCTCTTGTTCTCAGTATTCCTTAGGTGCCAATAGTTCACCATATATGTTTGTGGCCTTTTGGACTTTCCCTATTCACTTAAGCATGTGGCTTTGTCCAGTCCCGGTAGGCATATCTACAAAGCTTTTTGTATGTTTCCATTCACATTCGAGAGTCATCTCTGTATTAATATGTGATGTCTCTGATAAATTATTTGAAAAGATTCTTTAAGCCCTTTAAGGTTCAATTAGATAGATACTAGAACAGATATAAAACACTAAAGCATTTTTGAACAGTCTCTAAATGTGCTCTTAAATTATGTGTACAATTCTTATTAATATAAATTATTCTCAACTAGAGAAACACAATACATAACTTACATTTTCTATAGAAAATTATGCCATTTCTCTTTGTAGTTTAGACATGATATAGTACTCTAGCCCCTCTCTTCAGTAAAAGTTTTTCATATATATAGAATAGTAAATGAAATAAAAGTTTGTGCAGCCACTGTGGAAATCAGTGTGGCAGTTTCTCAGGAAACTGGGAGTCAACCTACCTAAGGACCCAGTAATTCCAATCTTGGGAATATACCCAAGAGATGCCCTATCATACTATAAAAGCATTTGCTCAACTATGTTCATAGCAGCACTAGTTGTAATAGCCAGAACCTGGAAACAACCTAGGTGCCCCTCAATAGAAGAATGGTTAAAGAAGGTGTGGAACATATACACATTGGAGTTTTACTCAGCGGTAAAAAACAATGACATCTTGAGTTTGCATGCAAATGGATGGAAATAGAAAATGCTTTACTGAGTGAGGTAACTCAGACCCAAAAAGAGGAATATGGTATGGACTCACTCATAAGTGGATTCTAGCCAAAATTAAAGGACATTGAGCCTATAATTTGTGATCCTAGAGAAGCTAAATAAGAAAGTGAACCTGAAGAAATTCATATAGTTATCCTCCTGGATATTGGAAGTAGACAAGATTGCCAGGCAAACTTGGGTGCACGGGGAGGGGCAGGGGGGTGAGGTGGAGAGTTGGGGGTTGGGGGGTGGATGTAAGGGGAGTTGGGTAGAGAGAAGGGAGAAGGGGAGGATTCAGGATAGTTTGGTTGAATGGGATGGATGGGATGGAGGAAGGATGGATATGGGAGCAGGGAAGTAAATACCTCAACTAAGGGAGCCATTTTAGGGTTTGTAAGAGACTTGATTTTAGAGGGGATCCCAGGTCCAAAGAGAGATTCCCATATTGTTCCCTGGCTAGTAGAGAAGAGGATACATAAACTGGTCTCATCCCATAACCATACTGATGAATATTTTGCATATCACCATAGAACCTTCATCTGGCAATGGATGGAGATAGAGACAGAGTCCCTCATTGGAGCACTGGACTTAGCTCCCTAGGTCCAAATGAGGAGCAGAAGGAGGGAGAACCGTGAGCAAGGAAGTCAGCATCATAAGGGGTGTGTCCACCTACAGAGACGGTGAGACTGATCTAATGGGAGTTCACCAAGGCCAGCTTGACTGGGAGTGATGGAGCATGTGATCAAAATGGACACTGAATGTGGCTGGCAATAAAGGCTGACTAAGAAGTCAAGGACAATGGCATTGGGATTTAATTCTACTGCATGGACTAACTTTATGGGAGCCTGGTTTGTTTGGATGTTCACCTTTAAAGACCTGTATGGATGGGGGAGGACCTTGGACTTCTCATGGGGCAGGGAACCCTGACTGCTCTTAAGACTAGAGAGGGAGGGGGAGGTGCAGAGGGGGAGGTGCGGAGAAGGAGGGAAATGGGAGGCAGGGAAGAGGTGGAAATTTTTAATAAAAAAAAAGAGTAAAAAAAATAGTTTGGTAGAACCAATAATAGAGATCACAATGCAGTCAATATCAAAACTTATGTCCCAATTTTTGTTTGAAAAACTATGAAAAGCAATGGGTTAAAGAACAAGAATAAAACTGTAAGTTAGCATAGGTTTTTTTTTCCTTTTTCATAATTTTTTTTGAAATAAATCATTAAAAATTTCACTGAAGTTGTGACCTCCAACGCGTTCATCTATTTTGCTGTGTTAAATGGGTCTGTGTGTCCATTTGCTTATATGTGAATAAATACAATTGTTTTGAAGAGTTATGCAAACTCACAGGTTTTCCTGTTGATTTGCTGTAATTAGTTCATCAGTTCCTACAGCCCTAAATTTTGTAGTGTGTAAATCTTAAAAAATAAATATATTTTACTAGTATAAATATATTTATAAATATAAAATATAAAAAAGCATTTTATAGATTATAAATAAATAATTATGAAGTTTTGTATGTATTTTAGTAATAGATGGTTAAATAAATTCTTTAAAAAACTACTGATACGATTAAAAAGCAGGCTGTGGTATTTTCAAACTTATTTTAAGGTTTGTTTTTTTTAATTATTATTTTAAAACAATCTTTTCTCATTTTACATGCTAATCCCATTTTCCACTCCCTCCCCTCCTCTTGCTTTCCCCCACTATCACTCCACCATATTCTGGATTCACACCTCACAAAGGATAAGGCTGTAACATGAGGTGGCCTGTTTGTTGGGGTTTTTGTCCTGCCCAGTTCCCCTCGCTGTTTAGTCCCAGAGAAAAATCACACTGAAATCTCTGTAAATTATAATCTGATTGACCCATTAGCTCTAGCCTCTCACTGACTAACTCTCACATCTTGATTAACCCATTTTTCTGATCTATTTTAGCCATGTGGCTCAGTACCTTTTTCAGTGCGGCAACTCACATCCTGCTGGTTCGGTGATCTGGGCAGGAGTGAGGGGAATCAGCTTCCTCCTTCCCAGAATTCTCCTGCTCTCTTTGCATCATTTCCACTTCCTGTCGGGTTTCCCCGTCTACACCTCCTACCCGGCCAATCAGCATTTATTTAAAACATGATTGACAGAATACAGACAATTCTCCCGCACCATAAGGCTTCCCATGGGGAGTCAACAAAGGCTTGTTAACTTTGAATTTGAGGCATGACTAAGGCCCTTTCTCCTATATCTAGGCTGAACAAGGTATCCCTCCAAAGAAAATGGGCTTCAAAAAATCCATTTAAAGCACTAGGAATAAATTCTTGTCCCAATTCCAGTGCCCTCATAGACTGTCCATCACCTAAATTCATAGCACTTAATTTGGGCCTATACAGACTCTACCACAGTCAGTTAGGAATTAGTGAGCTCCCAGTAGCTTAGGTTAGGTATTTCTGTGATTACCCCCATCAAGGTCTTGACCCCTTTGTTCACAGGATCTCTGTTCCCTCTTTTCAACCAGACTCTCTGAGCTCAGCCCAGTGTTTCACTGTGGATCTCTGCATTTGCTTCCATAAGTTACTGGATTAAGGTTCTATGATGACAATTAAGGTAGTTATCAATCTGATTCCAGGGGAAGGCAGTTCATGTACCCTCTCCACTATTCCTTAGGGTCATAGCTATGGTCATCCTTGTGGATTCCTGGGAATTTTCTTAGTGCCAGGTTTCTTGCTAGCCCAACAATGGCTCTCTCAAATAAAGATATCTCATTCCTTGCTCTCCTTCTCTGTCCTTCCCCAATCTAGGCCATCCTGCTCCCTCATTTTCTCTTGCCCTCTTTTCTCCCTCTCCCCTCACCTTCGTTAATGCAGTAGGTTGCATATCAGTCTCTAACAACTCACCATTTAACTTAAGTCCCTCCTAAGAATAACTGTGGATTTTTATGTACAGGATTTTTATGTACTTTATGTATAGAAGTTACTATAGTGGACTCTGGATAAATAAAAATATAGGACTTATTAAAAGTAATAGTTGTGACAAAATTTGTTGTTTTAGTCTGAGATACAAAGAAATAGAGAGCAAGAATACTTTTGAGCCTATATTAGGGTGACCATAGTAGAATGAAATTTTTTCTAATTATTTTTTTCTGCATTCTTTTATTAAACTTCAGATTCAAAACTGCCTGGATAAAAGATTAATTAACAGTTTAATCTGCATAAATTCACCTTGAGCCTTTGAGGAGCCAGGACTGCAAGAATCCCAAAGGCTTCCTCACGTTGAGAGACATAACAGCAATGCAGTTTTTACCAATGTTAATGGCTCAACTAAGGAAGGAACACTATGTATCATGAATTTTCAAAATTCATTGTCATTGACTATATATTCTACAGGTCTGGAACTTATATAGAAAAGCTGATACTGAATTTGGTATGTTGATGTTTAATGAAAACATTTAGCACATTTAAGAGAGAATTTTATTCATTTAATTGCTTCTTTCATTATATCATTATTTTCCCCACAACTCACCTCCTACTTTTGTGTGTCTTTTATATGTGATCTACTTCATATATTAAAAATACTTACATGTGCAATGATGGGCAGCATGTATTTGAGCAAGGGCACCTTGCCAGTGACAACAGCATTGAGGAATATTACTTTTCATTCCCCTACATTAATTGCATAGGTTCCTCAGGATGCAGTGCAGAGCATGAATATTTCCCCCATCCTTGATGAATGCCAATGTGTCCAGTCTTGAGAGGGCCTTATGTAGGTAACCAAGACAAGTATGAATCTATGAGAGCAATAATTTGCTATGCCCAGAAGACAATATGTCATCATTCTTTTAATCTGAGGTCCTTCAATTATTTCTTTATCCTCTTCCTTGAATTTTGTTAAGTCTTGGAGGGGCTAATATTAATGTACATTTATGGCTGGTCATTCAACAGTACCTTATTCTCCTAATTTTAAACACCAATGATTCTCTTAATTAATGATCATGATTATTACAAACCAAACTTTCTATGGCTCAGACTAAGAAGAGAACTAATCTAATGGAATAAACAAGTATTTGAAAGGAGCATTAATAACATATTCTTTTAGAAATGGTAAAAGAGTACCACCTAGGGATATTTGACCATATTTATAATACTAGGAATGAGTTCCTTCCAGTAGATCAAGCCTCAAATACAATCAAAAGAAATTGGTAACCACGATCAACAGACATGCCACTATTGTTCTAGTAGCTATCTTGAGCTTGGTAACATGTAGAATTCATAAATGGGTTCAACACTGATTTCCATAGAGCCTACATTAATCATTTAACTGTGAGTAAGATGCTGAGAAAAATCTTATGGAAAGTGTATATAAAATACTATAAAATAGAGATTTATTTAGCAAACTACAATTTATATAGCTCCATATAAAGAATTATGACCCCAGTCGAGCATAAAAGATTATCAATAAATGATAAAACCTAATTCTCTCTCAATCTTAATCACTTCCCTAGCATCATATACTGTATTATCATTGTCTGTCTATTCATTCTTCTGTTTGTCTATCTTCAACCTATCTATCATATGTATCCATATATGTATTCATCTGTATCCTTTGCAAATCTGCATTATATATCCTTTCTATTATTCCACTTCTTCCTCCCTCAATATTTCTAGGTTTCTACAATTGAGTGTTTTTCTCAGATGAGTTCTTTGGATCTAGTATATATTTTTGAGGTAGATCTTAAGTCTAGTCCCTTCTTTCAGTAAAACAAATTATATTAACTTTTAAATTTGATACTTTGTTGGTCATGCATAATGAAAACATTGTGCCATCATTTATTAGATTTATTTCCCTGGAGATTGGTGGGATAGAGATAGTTAGACAGAAAAAATTTAAAGCAATAATTCATTGTTGAAATATCAGAATTCATCTAAAGACTACATTTTAAATCCTTTTATGCTTCAGCTCCTCCACTCTAATAACATAAGTTTTTTTCTTAGAAACTCACCAACAACTTCTCCAACACTGCCCTGTTCAATGTACCAGATGTATTTATATATATCTCTTACTTCCTGTTGTTGCAGAAGAAAAGTTATTAATTTAGCATTTCTATTGCCAGTATACTCAATCATTTTTCTTTTGATGCTTAATAAAGTGATATTTGCATTTTAATACTATGTCTAAAATTTAAAATATACCCCAAACAATAGTGATTAAATTTTACTAAAGTCATATTTTTCTACTTTTTAAATGAAGGCAATCACACAACTAGATTCTGGCCCATTAGTGATATTAGACAGGAAAATCCAGGTTTAAAATTACTTTTTTTCTTTACTTATGACTACTAGGAATTAATTTTCTGTTCCATCCAAGGTACATTTATGGGGGTCAGGAAAGTCTAGTGCTGTGAACACTAGTGGGCACCCTCCAGCTCCTGTTGTCTGTCACTTGCTGAAGTCTTTCTACTTTATAGGTGGGAGAGCTGGGAGGGGCTCTGGCCTATAACCACTTAAGGTTAAACTGGCTTATGTTTCTGCCAGGTCAACACTACACCCTCCTGTTAGCCTGGCAAGGATGGATGACTGGCTACTTCATCATGGTTTCAGGAGCCAAGCCATGTGTGATTGGGCTTCTAGAAGTCTGTAATTGTTTTTCTAATTTATTAGTTTAATAATATCTATACTCAAATTCCATAAGATAACTATTGTAAGGAGCCGCCAGGACATCGCCATTGTGAAATGGTGCTGGTGTCTTGCAGCTTGGAGATAAACAAATCCTTTTGAAGTTGCCCAGTGGGCCTTGGCCTGTATTTGCATAACTGAGCCTTGGTTCCCTGGCCTGTCCCGAGGCCCTGGGCTTCAGCAGAATGGTATTCACCAATCAGAACAGTGTCCAAGCCTCTCCACCCTAGAAAAGCACCTGCCACTTGGCTTTTCGCTCTCTCTCGTTTCCCCACTTCCCCTTCAACCGAGAGGCTCCAATAAAGTTGTGATTTGGGAAGAATTCTCGATTTCGTGGTTGTTCCTGCTTGCTGGTCAAGGGGTGTGTCACACAATCTATAATTTCTAATTTTATTGAAAATAGATTTTGCTTCATACTATATATTCTGTTTATGGTTTCTCCTCCCACAAATCCTCCCAGATCCTCTCAATCTCCCTATCCACCAAAACTCTTACTCTCTTCTGCTCTCATTATTTCTTTTTATGTGTTTCATATTAGTATCTTCAATTTAAGATTCTTTAAGCAAAAACTATTTTAATATTTTTATTTCTTTTATTCTAAACTTAGACAAATTTTGGTAACATAATGAGTATATGTACCACTAGACATGCATGGTTTTATAAATTTTTTCTCTTTTATTTATTTATTTTTTATTTATGTACTTTATTAACATTTCCACATGTTTAGCTAGCAGGGAAATTAAATTTAAACTGTTTTGACATGCATCAACCATGCCACAATGGTCATTGTTAAGAAAACGTAGCAACAAATGTTGATGATGGAAGTAAAGAGGAAAATACATACTGTGAGAATGTGTGGAAAGATTGAGGAAAGATATCAGTATGGGTGTACAAAAAATTAAAATAGAATTACTCTATGATACAGGTATATTATACTTAGACATAAACTGTAATCTGTGTTAGTTTATCAAACAGTTGTTTGGTCTTCTATTAAAGATGACAGTGACCACCAGCAGCTGCAGGAGCATAGATCTGCTCCCAGTAGCCCTGGGAGACTCTTGGAAGCTTCAAGGAGAAATAAAGCAGTGAAGGGTGAGTCTGCAGAGCTCACATGTCTCCAGAAGAACTCAAAAAGGGTGGGTCTCATGGGATTATACTTGTAAAAAAAATGTCTCATGAAATTGGAAATGAAGATGGAAGAATGAAAGATCTGCGTGCAATAAACAAAGTTGGAGTCACAGCAGTGGCGACTATGGCAGGCAGAGAAACATGTCACTGCTGAGCATGGCTAGTCCTCAGTCTTGCCAAGAGTCTTGGGCCAGTGGGCCTGACCCACAGAATTTAACTACTGCTGCAACTGGTGCTGCTCCTCTTCCTCATCTCTGCCCAAGGGCTGCAGTAAGGATACTGGAGGCTGGAACTTAGGACAGCCCGTTGCCAAGGACTCACTGGGACTTTCCCCCATCTGCTGCCTAGGCACGAGGTCACCATGATTCTGGGTTATAATAGGATATCTGAGATGGATCTTAGCAATAGTCCAGTATTTCTGACATTTTGAGTACCAGAAAACTTGAACTAGAATAACAACTCATTATAATACGTATTTGTATATAACACAGTTAAGGAAAAATACTGTACAATACAGCAATTTCTGATGCCACATTGATGTGCAAATGTGCAATGGGCAGAAGGAAAAGGAAGCAGAATTACCTGTTGCTGAGAGAGATGGAACTAGCAATGTGGAGGTAGAGGTAACAGGTGTGGGAGGACAGGGGAGCATGTTGTTGGTGGGTGGACCTGACCGAGTGGTGTGCAGCAAGCTGGAGCTCAACTGGGTTTGCCCCCAAATGACTGCACAGAACCATGATCATCCAGGCTCTAGAAGACAACAAGTTTCACATGAAGTATTGTTAATTTTTGGAGCTATGCCCACTCATCTATTTCCAATCCAAAAGTCATTTTGAAGTCTGTGCTCTGTGTTGCTGCCTGAAACTATGTTGATGTTCATGGTTCATGTATTTGCTGGAGGATATGTGGATGTTCATGGCTCTTTTGAATTCTCAAAAACCTTTAAATAATTAAATTTTAATTCCTTCAACTTATGGTCACTCTCTTTAGGGTGTTTTCCAATTTCGGTCTTCCATCAATTATGCAATTTTAAATAAATCAATAATAAAAGCATACGATATACATGCATGTTTTAGCATATATGTATACGCTGTTTGGTGCAGTCAATGGTGCTTGTATTTCTGCTACTGATACATATCGTATCATAATGCATTTAATGAAGATTAGATTATTTTAAGTACATTCATTATATTTATCTTTTTGCTAAAAGAGATATTATTGACTTATGATTTTGAAAAAAAGGCTAGACTCATGGCATGCTGCAATGGAGAGACTGTTGTGTGCTAAAAGTGACATCAATGTGCTACCAAGATTCATCAGCACCTGGAGAAGCAGAGTTCCTGTTATAAAACCCAAGGATTGGTTCTTCTGTCAAAATAAACTAGGGTCTGTGAGTGGCACATGGCAGGATTGAGACAAGGATGTGCCTTTGTTTCCAGTGGATGGATGTGATTAGTTTGCTTGAATCACTATGGACTGGAAGTCAATTAAAATGTACTTATTAGAGACAAGAAGGAATTTCATCTGATCCCAAAGATGATGACAGGTGTTAGAATACTGACACTTATCCATAGGAGTAAAGTAGGGAAAGTAACTTTGGTTTAGGGTATATGATTTTCTCCTGATTTTACTGATTATTGTGGTAGTAAATTATGGATACTTTGGCTAGACATTAAATAACATGAAATGAGAGATATAAACCATATTTATTTTTGTTTTTATATACAAAAAGAAATCAGTAATGTTTGGGTTCTTTTATTGACTAGACTTTTCAGTAACTATTACTTATATATTTGTATATATCTGTATAGACTACAAAGAATTTTATTGACTACCATTCCTATGAATTTGGTTTATTCTCATACCACACAAATGTGAATGAACCATCCCTTGATGTACCAGAACCAATAATGGCAGCTGTTGATAGCTGCTTCTCAAGGTGTAGATTATAAGAAGCCTGGAAAAATTCTCAGAAGCCCATTAGTTATCAAAATGAATTCTATACAAGTACCAAAGGGGAAGCTCCTAATATTCACAAAAGTTCTCCTAACACCATTCATTGAATACAAGTACCTGGGAAATCAATGAATCTCCAGAGAAACTGAATATAAATAAAAGATTTTTTGGCTCTTTTTCAGTGTAGTATAGAAACAGAACAGAAGGAAAAGTTTGCATAATTTTAACATGGATGAAACAATGAAGAGTCAGGGGAAAATACTGAGAAGTGTACATACTCATAAATCAATAGAACAATGTCATAATCATAAAACGGGTATTGGAAATACGTGAAGAAAATCCAATAGGAACAATAATGAAACATTTAGTTCATTTTTATTTTTGTCATACTCAGAAGGCAAGAATTATTCAGACTAAATTGATTGCTACAGTGATGGATTACATTTTATAGTTAACCAATATGCAAAGTGAATAACAAAAATATTCTACTTTTAATTAGGAAATAAAGTAGAGATTGTAGAATAGCACAACCACCTCAATGTAAACCAGAAACATAGAAAAAGTTGTGGAATCATTATTACTTTATTAAAGAATATGACCCATATCAACATGATCATATATTTATTAATCTGAAGAACTTTTCCCATAGAAATGTCAGATATGCAATTCATTTTAAGTCATTTATTCTGAGTGCTCATTTACTCGGTTACTCTTTCTGTTAACAAGTCATGTGTGTTGTGCAGTGAATAACAGAATCATTCCACCCTTAGGAACATCACGGAATTATAGTGAGGAAGGAACATATTGCTGTTGGATGTGCATCGTAATGTATAAGACTTTGACTTCTGCTACCCTGAGCTGAAGACTGGGTCTACTTCCTTCCTCCACCTCCTGCGATGGCACTGTGACATGACCTTTCTCAGATGTTGGAAATCCTCTACATATGCTATTTTCAACAACAATAATTTCAAGAAATGTGACCAGCCAGACTGAAATTGAAATTTTATTCAATGTTTTAAGTTTAACTTAAACTTAAATAGACATGCACAACAATGAAATCTATTAAGCAAATCCAATGTGCATTAAATAGTAAATCTCTTTGCATACAAAAGTACACAAAATGAATTAGATTTTTCTGTTAATGGTGGTCATGATATTTTTAAAAAGAAATTGAATGATTAAAAATTAAGAAAAAACTTCATATGTAAACTTCAAATTCACCTGTCCTTCAGGAAAACTTCCCATTTGGATTGCAAAAAGAAATACCTTACTTTTGAACTTATATTTATTATTAGGAAAATGAGAGTTGCCACTGTCAGCTAGCTTTTGTCATTTCGCCAGCATTACTATCCCCTGACATTGTATGTATAGAAAGTCCTATCAATTGTACCTAGTTGTTTGCTCTTATGGTTGCATGACTTCATTTGCAGCTTTACCATGATCAAGAAGTAACAGTTCTAGCAACCAAACACAGCCACTGTCTTCTTAGTTGGTGCATATTGTCTACAGGGAGGTCTGCGCAAGGATCCTGGATAAGATCTTCTTCCTTAAAGTTATTTTTACTAACAAATAAGTCTTTGATAGTTATCTGTATTAGAAGCAAGGCTGTATGGAAGGACAAGAGCAGTTTGCACAAGATCCTCAAAGACTGTGAGAGCAGAGGAGAGAAGGACACAGCCAACTTGCAGTCTCTGCTCCCAGTCATACTGTTTCTTCTGTCTGTCAAGCTTAGTTTTCTTATGCCCTCTTTTTCACCTTTCTTGATGCTCTGAGCTTGACTGGTCCTGTACCCACTACCTAACTCCAGTCTCCATTGTCCCTGCACCATATGTAAAGAACTTGGCGTTTTCATCATGTGTGCCTGTCTATCCCTACAGAGAACAGCTCCTGTGTTCTAAATAGCAACGTGTGTAGTATGTACTATCATTAAGAGTCATGTTTTCCCTGAATCTTCTATATTCTCACATGTTGCAGACATACTGAATGAAAAATGGAAATGTATGAGGCTTCAAACTTACACAAAAATGTCCATGCAAATACTGGATACTGAGAATGGGAGAAATTATTCCCTAGGGAAGAGCACACTGAATTACTATCTAAGATCTAATGGTCACTCATGAAAATATCCATACATTTATGTTTATATAGATTGAAATGGTCATATTTATATAGTTAGGAATACATTTATATATTTTTATATAATATATATAAATTTATAAATATAATAAAGATGAAACAGACTGGTGATAATAAGTTCTACAAATTTGTAAAATGGCAAAGAAGTGTATATGGGAGGACTTGAAAGGAAAAAAGAAAAGGAAGAATTAATGTAATTAATTTACAATTTTAAAAATAAAATGAATTTAGAGATCTTGATAATCTTGATAATAGAGACTGTCTTTTATGTCATTTCTATGTATCTAATAGAAATCTTATTTTAACTGAGATTGCTAATCTTGTGAAAAATAAAATAACATTATTAATAATAACTGCAAATATACAAGGATGCAACTGTCTCTCAATGATAATAACATTATTCAAATTAAAGAGGTTATGAGTTTGAGTGGGAATGAGTAGAACATGAGTCCTACTGAAAAGAAAGAGGGATGGGTAAAAATAAAATGCCTGTATTATACTCTTGCATAAAATTCACACAAAAATAAAAATTAAATTTAGAAACATTGATATTACTCAAAATATTTAAAATTTTCTTATTTATCACAAGCATTAAAAACTCAGCTAGATTAAAAAAATCAAATATTTGTTCTCAGTAAATATTGTTTTAAATTCACACTCAGTAAATAGTATTTAATAATTCTTTTGGGAAAAATATACATGAGTTTTCTTCACTTATGTGTTTTGTTTTCTTTCAATGATCATCTGTTATTTTTATAATAAACATGTTCTATACTTTTAAAAACTAATTGACCTTGAAATATTAATAAGGATTTTAACTAAACATCTTTTCAGTCTTTTACCATGACTGAGCTATCAATAGTGTAGCCATATTCATGAGACATTATTGGCTGTGTTGCAATCTTCCTCTCTATTCAAATATGATAATTATTTTTAATTATTTCTGCTATTCTTTAGCTTATAATTACAACACTTTTCTTTTTCTCCCTCAAATCCATCCCATAACTACTGTGGGACAGTGGTGTTTATCTTACCACTTTGTTTTAATAAAACACTGATTGGCTATTAGACAGGCAGAAAATATAGGCAGGGTGACCAGGCAGGAAGTAGAGATTGAGTGGCAAGAACAGGAGAATTTTGGAAGAAGAAACTGTTAGTCTGCATTCGTCACCCAGAGAGGAAGAAAGATGAGAATGCCTTGCTGATGAAAGCCACCAAGCCATGTGGCTCACAGTCAAGAATAATGGGTTAATATAAGATGTAAGAATTAGTTAATAAGAAGATTGAGCTAATAGATCAATCAGTTTATAATTAATGCAGACTTATGTGTATTTCTTTCAAACTGAAAGGCTGCGGGAATGGATGGGACAGAAACCTTTGTTAAGATATAACCCTTTGCTCTTTTTTCAAATTCAGAGCCTCTTCTTTTTTAAAAAAATTCTTGTTTCATATGCATTTCTACATATTATATTCATAAATATATGATACGCAATACTATGCATATGTGTACACATAAATATACACATATACTCCTAAATACTTAAGAAAACCTGATCAGCCTGTTTAGTGTTACTTGCATATAAGTTTTCAAGGACGATTATTTGGAATTGGATAGCCAATTGCTATGCTCTTCCTTGGGAAGATTATTTATCTTGCTCTTAACATTCCTTATCTACCTGTAATTTGTTGTGTAGGCTTACTGGGCATATCTGTATCCTGATATGATGTCATTAAAATCTTGCAGGAAGAGTAGCTTTGAGATCACCATGTGTCTTCAAGAATAGGAGTTGTTTTCAGTTATTACTGAAAAAAAATGTCTGTTAGCTCAAAATCTGAATTTAAATTGTTCTATAAAGAATGAACCATACAGTGATGAATAACAGAAGAAATTTGATCTTTTTTTTTCATGAAGAGTGAGAGAATGGAATGTTCATTATCAACTTTACTGTTGTGTTGAGAGCAAGCCCTTCGATAGAGCAGCAAAGTTGAGAGAGTATTTCACAAAGACTGAGTGGTCACTGGAACTAAATCAACCAGTGTGCTGTAGTCAGTGAGTTGGAAGAGGCTGTCTAAATGGAGACTAAGCTTCGTGTGGTTTTGAAGCTAATACCTGGGTTTTCTTTATTCATTTTTCAATATACAATGAAGTTTCCATTGTTCATGACAAAATCACAATAAAAATGACAGAATGAAGACATGGACAGTAAACAAAGATGTCTCTGATGTTTTGCTATATTTTATACTTTGGATTTGGGAAATTTTAAATGTTTTTGAAAATAATCAAATACTACCATATGAAAGAAAGCACAAAGGTGTTGGATAAAAAATGAGCAAACAAGTGATAATCTAAAATCTGCTGTAAATAAAACTCACTCTCATAATCTGAAGCTTTTAACTCATTTTGTCTCTAAGTGCTATTGCAACATTCAAAGGGGAAAAACAAAAACCTCAGAAAGGTGAAATGAAATATCTGAGTTTCAAAATTATTGTAAATAGTCTCTGTTATCATTTATAAAGACATGGGGCCAGAGGCTGGTACCACGATGGACAGAGGTCCCACAAGGGACAGCAGTAGGTCATTCTAAGTCTCTTCGGATTCCCAGGGTGACAGGGTGACAGAGTGACACCATGCCGAGAGAGTTTGACTATAGAGTTTATTTAGTGGGTTATGGAAGAGAAAGGCTAGGGGAAGGGGAGAAAGGGGGAAGAAGAGAGAGAAGAGCAGAGGAAGAGGCAGAGAGATAGAGAGAGAGAGAGAGAGAGAGAGAGAGAGAGAGAGAGAGGTGAGAGAGGCAGTAGTTACCTCTTCAGATGAGGAACAGAAAGAAACACGGAGAATAGGCAGGAGATCTAAGGGGGAGGTGGGAGTTGACTGGGCTTGTTTCTTAAAGGAACAAGGAACCCAGGTGACAGATCAGGCCAATAGATTACAACAGTCTCCACTGCAACTAGGAGTCATCTGGCAGATATTCCTTATTTATCATGTTTTCATAAAACAATGTCTGGTGTGGGAAGGCCTTCTGTCTATGTGTTGCTTTTATTGGTTAATGAATAAATATGCTTTTAACTAATGGCTTAACAGAGTAAAATTAGGTGGAAAATCCAAACAGAGATGTAAAGAGAGATTAGGCAGAGTCAGAGAGAAGTTACATAGCTGCCAAAAAAGACAGACACCTCCACAGGAGCCTGCAGAAACTTTGCTGGTAAGTCGTGATCTCATGGTGATGCACAGATTAATGGAGATGGATTCGCTTAGGATAAAAGTTCTAGCTAGAAATACTCTTTTATTTACTGTTTTTTTTGTTGATTTTTATTGAGTTCTACATTTTTTTTCTGCTCCCCTCCCTGCCTCCCCCCAACTTCAATCCTCTCCCAAGGTCCTCATGTTCCCAATTTACTCAGGAGATCTTGTTTTTTTTCTACTACTTAAACTATTAACACTGCTGGTCAAGCAGTGTTAGAAATAATAAAGTTTCTGTGTAATTATCTCAGGTCTAAACGGTTGAGAATGAATGAACAGCCTTTGCCTACAAATGTCTGTATAATATAAATCAGAAGTGTATTTGTGTATTCCTCTCAGCCATGATGTCTCAGCTGCTACCATATAGAAAGAAAAACTATATTTTCAAGACCCAATTTCTTCTCCCAGATTCCTTCATAGTAGCTTCAGGACTCTGTGTAGTTGATTGTCCTATTCGAGTTCATATCTATGTTCCTACAAAGAACTAGAGTGTTAAATAAGAACCAGAGACTCTTTAGTGACAGTGCTTCTTTCTGTACTTTGCAATTGTACCAATTAACAAAGAGCTTTTTAGATTAGAAGTTGAAGAATATTAAAGAAACTGAGCAAGATACTGACTCTAAGCACAGCCTTGGTTTAGAATGCAAGTAAATATTAGCAATTGAGCTATCGAGAAAACTCTGACATATTTTAGGTAAAAATATGCGCCTCAATTTGAATTGAAAGCTTAATTTTGTGATTTGTTAGATATGTTAATCATTTCAA